CATACTTTAAGTTCCTTTTGCAGATAATATTCACCTGCTTCACGGGCTGGTCAATTCACCTGCAGCTGTTTAGCTGCAGCTTTACAGATGACTGAGCTCAAATGTTGTACACTGTTGATTAGGTGAATCAGCCAGTGAGAGTGTAGAATGGAGCAGTTAGCAACCAGTCAGAACTGGTTCAGACTAACTGAAGGAAAAACATTAACAAACTGACCAAGGAACAGATATTTTTAAATTTTGGAGTGGTTTTTCTTTAAAGAGACCCCTTCAGTTGTGATCTCTGGTGCAGGTACAACAGGTGACGAACAGTGAACTGCCTTTTTTCACCCGCACAATACTGTGAAAATCAGGAGCATCCTGTCTCAAAGTGATGCTGAAAAACTGGTCCATGCATTTGTTACTTCCAGGCTGGACTACTGTAACTCTTTACTATCAGGATGTCCCAATAATTCCCTAAAAAGCCTCCAGTTAATCCAAAATGCTGCAGCCAGAGGACTGACAGGAACGAGCAAGAGAGATCATATCTCTCCCATATTAGCTTCTCTCCACTGGCTCCCTGTAAAAGTCAGAATAGAATTTAAAATCCTTCTCCTAACATACAAAGCCCTTAATGACAAGGCTCCATCATATCTTAAAGACCTCGTAGAGCCTTATCATCCTAACAGAGCACTTCACTCTCAGAGTGCAGGTTTACTTGTGGTTCCTAGAGTCCACAGAAGCAGAATGGGAGGCAGAGCCTTTAACTATCAAGCTCCTCTCCTATGGAACCAACTCCCAGTCTCAGTTCAGGAGGCGGACACCCTCTCTACCTTTAAGACTAGACTTGAGACGTTCCTTTTTGATAAAGCTTATAGTTAGGGCTGGATCAGGTGACCCTGAGCCTTCCCTTAGTTATGCTGCTATAGCCCTAGGCTGCTGGGGGGCCCCATGATGCTCTGAGTTTCTCTCCCCTCCCCTCCCCTCTCCTCTCTCTCCATGCTTCTATATGCCACCATTACACATCACTAACTTTGTGTCTCCTCTCTCCCGTAGTGTGTCCTCTCTCTCTCTCCCTGTACCTTTCTGCAGGTTGCCCTGGCCTTGGAGCTCTACGTCTCTGATGAGCAGTCACCAGCCACATCGACCTGATCAGTGTTTGATTGTTGTGTCTTGTTGCTTTTCTTCTTTTGTCTCTCCTCTATCCACTCACCCCAACCGGTCGAGGCAGAAGGCCGCCCACCAAGAGCCGGGGTCTGTTGGAGGTTTCTTCCGTTAAAGGGAGTTTTTCCTCCCCACTGTCACCAAGTGCTTGCTCAAGGGGGATTTGTTGGGTTTTCCCTATGTAATAATATTGATAACAGTAAGGTCTAGACCTTACTCTGTAAAGTGTCCTGAGATGACTTTTGTTGTGATTTGACGCTGTACAAATAAAATTTGATTTGATTTGATTTGAACTCATCCAATAGGAACAAGCTATGACTGTGATTGTAAGCACGGTGGCAAACCTCACATACAGTATATCCATAGTATTATGCTGTTTGTATTATATAAATGGTTAGTCTGTGACAGCAAGTTCCACAATAAAGAACAGCTTTCTGATTACAATAAAATATTTGTTAATGATATTTATATTACTGGAAGCAAACAATCTGTGAAATCTATGCCTTACTGCAGATGTTTTTCAAACATCGTGGTTTGCTTTTTTTCAACAGACTTGAAGGATGGTTAGTAAATGGTTATTACTGTGTATATGCACCCAGTTTATTTGCTCATCTCAGGTAAAGTGTAGCGCACAGCTGTGCTCCAGTTGTTTCTGCAAAATGTATCCAGGACAATCTCAGCCCTAAACAAGGTTAGTATTGTCTTCATCTGGCAGTATTTGCAAATTATTTGTCAGTTTCCTTTCTGAAGCCTGTGATAGAGACCATCACAGTCCCACAATGATATCGAGAAATTTTTCTATCTCAATATCACAGAATTACAAATAACATTACATCCCTACCACTGATGTTTTTGTGTGGATTACCTGCTTACTGCCTAGGACTCATGTTCTTGCTTCCTGTCTGTTACTGTTTTCATGTCCTGATTCTCCACCTGATTCCAGCTGTTTCTGACTTGCCTGTCAGGCTCTTCACCTTTGTGCTCATTCAGGTTATTTTACTGCACTTTCCTGCCTTTTGCCTGTGTCCTATTTCCTCAATCACTCACCCATGAAAAAATAACAGAGTATTACCAACAGATAGGGATTTGGAAATAATTTGAAAAAGCATTAAACCATCAGAATATTTTCTTTTTCAATAATACATACTGAGATGTTTCGCTTTGTTTTGTTCTTATTTGTTGTGCATTTGATTGATTTGATTTTGTGCAGTTTATAAACTCACTGGTAAAAAGATATGTGGTTTTGGTGACTTTCCACTGTGATGTACGAAAATGTTCATAATCATAATTAAGTTATCTAAATCAGATATATTAAATGGGAAATTTTCCAAAAGTAATTTAGAAAAACCCACATAGAGATATGAAATTTGTTCTCTGTGAGGTTGAGAAAACACAGTAACCTACAGGGAGCAGCTTCACCTGCACAGGTGAGTGAGCATGCCTTTCATTGTCACCATGGAGATGAGATGATAGAGGTTTGCTGAGATGAATGAATTTGTTTCTGCCGTCAGAGCATGAATATTTAGATGGAGATAAACAGCAAGAAGGTCAGACACATGTATAACAGAGAGGCTGTTATAACACACACACACACAGACACACACCATTAATATACAACAATAACAGGTTTATCACGCACACAATGTTAAATATACAAGAGTGCAGGTTGACTTATTATATTACTCGCAAGTCATTTAATACTGCAGTGACAATGTATATCTTAATATACAACAGACTCATTTATCAGTACTAATACTCTGTCATCTACCATAATGATGTTTCAGCATATCTGAAATTATCCATAACTTCTAAACCAGAAACAGGCATCACCATCACTCTCCTTTCTCAGCAACATCAAATACTCAATTTAGAATTTGTGGCAGTAGTCCTTCAATCTGGAGTTCTGTTCGTAAGGATTTTAAAAACACTCACCCAGATGTTTTCCAAAGGTATAGACATTTATTATTGACAGCATGTAGTGTTTTACATACAGAAGAGCATAAGAATGTTGCTTATATTTATCTTGCTCTTCTATTATATGGTTGTGAATTTTAATGCACTTTAGGGGAGTCACACAAAATGCCTAGGGCTTCTTGGCTCTAATAGCACATATTTTATGATGAAAACTACACTGTGTACTAATTTGTCTAATTCATCTGATCTTGTATTTCATTATAAGTAACTGCAGTAATGCAATACAAAAATATATATATTAACTCTATATGTATACCTACATACTATATTTCACACAACCTTTGGTTAACAAAATCTCACATTGTCAAGGGTGAGTTTTAGGCCAGGTCTCTCCACATTCCAGTGTGGAGATAAAGGCAGGTTTTGGTCTCTGGAGACAGACTCCAGGCTCTCCATCTGATAAGGAGAGGTAGGGTGTAAAGTTGTCTTTTAGCTGAAACAAAGCAGACAATCATCTTAGTCCCGGAGGCAGGACAAGGTCTCTTACCCTGGGGTGTGGCTCTCCCCGCTGCTGTTTTCCCTCTACACTAATGACTGTGCCTCAGGGGACCCCTCTGTTAAACTCCTGAAGTTTGCCGATGACACAACGGTCATCAGTCTCATTTGAAACGGTGACAAGTCGGCCTACAGAGGGGGGTGGAACAGCTGGTCCTCTGGTGGGGTTGCAACAACCTGGAGTTTAACACGTTCAAAACAGTGGAGATGTCAGTGGACTTTAAGGAGCAAGAGCCTTTAGCTATCAAGCTCTAACCCTAACCCTCACTGTGGTTATTAGTAGTATATTCTTCCTTTGTTTTATAATCTTGGCTGTAAAGGCTCTATTCCATTATAAAGCCTCGTCCGGTTCTTTCAAACCAGGAACTCCGAGGGACGACTCAGACCACTTGAGTATATAAAAAATATAACCGTGCTGGTTTATTCAAAGAGGCACAGGCAAGAATTAACACTTCCAGTCCAGAGATCTTCCAACCCCCAGGCTAATAACATTTGTCCCTGATTTCAGCCTTTCTGCCTTAACCAACCTTGCATTTAACAGCCTGAGGAGACATCCTGGCTACACTAAACATTCCTAGACAACAAATCTCTGAATATCTATCTAACTAAAAAATAACCTAACAGCTGAGTGTCAGTGGTTGGACAGTTGAGTGGACCCAGCTCTCAGAGGGAAATGCTACTACCAGCCAGCTGGACCTACCGTTGCTTCACTTGAGCAAATACAATGCAGATGCTGTGTCAAGCCACATATCTGCTCTTTGCTTGGGTGATGATGATTTTTAAAATATTAAAGTTTATTTCACTCACTACCCATCTGCATTTAATCTGTTTTTACTGGTGTCTGTAGCTGGTGAATTACTATAAACATGTTCTTTTTTTAGCCGTTATACGTAACGAGTACCTCATTACGTATAACGAGGTGCGAGGTACCTGCCGACCCACTGCAGAATATTCATGCACGCTGAGGAGCAAAGACCAGATGTGTGTCAAGAGGCTTTATAGAGGTTTATTGAACTTTTTTGAGGAAAAACTTTGTTAGACTATATATTATGCATAGCAGTGTATTTTATATGCATTAAAATGTCTCTGGAGATGAACATTAATATGATTCAAGTCTTGTCCTTTTCAACCAGTAGTAACAATATTTTTCATTTTTAAGGACATTTTAAAAAAAATAGGCATTTTTTACAATTGTTGGTCAAACTAAAATCTTTTGCTTCCTCACTTCATCCTTTTCTTCATGAGTTCACCTCAAGTTCCGGTTCTTATTTAAAATGTTAATGTTAAACACACACACACACACACACACACGCACACACACACACTGTGATTGTTTGTCCGTTTCATGTTCCTCTTGATGAATATAATCAACATGTTTTCTGCTATAAAACCACAAAACTCTGAGCTGAAAACATCAGAACGCAGGGAACTCGGTTTAAACTGAACCTAAACCAGAACCCAGACCAGCCATGGACAAAGGTATGACATGAACAGTCGTTTCATTTATTTTATTTTGCCTCATAATTTTTGACGGTATACTTTGGTGTGTCTTATTTTAATTAGGTTTGCTGATCATATATACATCTATCTATCTATCTATCTATCTATCTATCTATCTATCTATCTATCTATCTATCTATCTATCTATCTATCTATCCATCTATCTATCTATCTATCTATCTATAGAGATAGATATATATATATATATAGAGAAAGAATTATCCGATTATTGATAATTAATTTTATTTATTTTGCATCATTCACATTTTAGGCTTAAAATTTGTGAAACTGGTTCAATACATTTTAAACCTTAAGAAAATGTTTCATATAATATTTCTATACAGCCCTACTGTCTCTCACCTGCCTCTTTTGCCTCTGTCAGTCACCTGTGTCACCTGTATCTCTCTCACCTGTCAACTGTCACACTTGTCTTTCACCTGTCACACTTGTCATGTGTGCCTCTGTTGGTAATTTTGCTTTACATGAGTTCTGGTTCCATCTATATGTGTTACATGTAACAGCAGGTGGTCATATGTGACTGGTCATGTGCCAAAAATAGATGAGACATTTGAAACTCTTTTTTTACAGCAAAGTTTATGTGTATTTAAACATGAACATTCTCCTTGGCTGAACAATACTTTGTGGCGCTGCAAAGCTTGCATTTTAGCTTCTGTATAAGGTGCTACATGAATTTACACACTGGATACGCTAGAATTAGAATGCAGATGCCAGGAATTGCCACCAAAAGTACAAGACAAACCCAACTGATTCTTAGTGAAGATTGTACTTTATTATGATGCTGTAGTATGTGCAATGTTCACTCAAGTTCAGAAAATTGCTTGAACTCTCGTGTACCAAGTCTTCTTCAACTTCTTCTAACATCCAAATACAAAAGTCAACAAATTTCTTTCAGTCTCTCACCTGTCTGTCACTTCTCACACCTGCCAGTCGTCCTCCTGCTATCAGTCCTATCTCTGGGCATCTCCTCTCAGCCAATCACAGACAGCCAGCGTCTGTTCTCCATCGCTGTGAGCAGAGTTCAGCACCTCCACCTGCTCGCCCAGAGACTCTTCTCTGACTTTGTGAGTCTACAGCAGCTCACTTAGATCTCATCAGTCTTCTCTGTGTATTTGTGTGCATTACTGAGATTTTTTTGTGTTTATGTTGTGTATTTGTGTATTGTTGTTTGTTAGGAGAGCTCTCTGCAGACAGAGGAGCAGCGTCAACTCAACAAAATCTTCCTGCAGGACCTCTGCAACTCAGATTATATCATCAGCCCCATTGACAAACATGAGACACAACGTAGCTCTGTGAGTACTATACAGTCCTACACAGTACTACACAGGACTACCCAACACTACACAGTACTACAATACTACTACAATATTACACAACACACTGCACGATACAATAAAAAAGAAAACTATAATTTCTTTCTCACAGTTGTGCGCCTCCACCACTCAATCAAGTGCCAGTTTACATGCATGTCTGTCCAGACTCATACGATATAGCCGAATACATGTCGTAAAGACTTGTAAAATGTGCAAAATTTGAAGAAATTATCTCAAAGTGTTCCTGAGATATTGTGTCATGAGATGGATGACCGGACGTACAACTGTACAATCCAAAAACAAAATGACCCCAGCCACAACTGTTGTCGACACAAGGGCATAACAGCATGGGATATAAGGCACAGGTGCACATGTTTACTACAAAGTATGTAATAATACACTACACTACTATGCACTACACTAAAGACTGTAAACCACAAGTACAAACGTTCTGAAGTTATCGATCACCTATCAATTGGTTGGTTCCAGATTCTGAAGCTGCTGTCCATCTCGATCACCTGTCAATACTTATTTATCTACTTTATATTTCATTGGTTTTTTGTGACATTCATGTGGACGGCAAAGTAAGAATTTCATTGTACAGGGAAACACGTTTCCTAACTGTACATATGACAAAATAAACACTTTGAACTTTGAATTGGTTGGTTCTAGGTTCTGAAGCTGCTGTCCATCTCCTATCAATTGGTTGATTCCTGGAAGTTCCCCAGTCATTCTCTGTCTGGAGGTTCTGCTCTGAGGAATCAGATTTCACCCAAACTGTCTGAGCTGAAGACAGGAATCCTTCTGCTGATCAGGGTAGGAACACTTACACATAAATCACATAAATCTGCATACCTTTTAATAGCTAGATTTTGCTACTAGAATGATATCACAGGAAATGAAAATAATGAGCTATTTTTTGTTTTACTGACAAAAAGAATAAATGGGAAAATGACTTAAATTCTCATTTGCTTGCATTTAAAAAAACAAAATATAAATAAATTATATATTTTCTTAAACAGATGAATCGCCAAGAAAACCAGTCAGAAAGAAAGCCAGTAAACTGAAATATAAATTGGCTATTTTATTTTCCCAAAACGGGGAGCGTTCCACTGACAATGGACCCTGTTTCAAAATAAGACATTGTCATGTTACTCCTTCAGTGTATCTTTACAGATGCAGCCTATAAGCAAAAATCCAAAACACATATTGCAGTAAAACTAAACTAAACTAAAAACAAAAAACTGCTCATTTTTTGTTTCCCTTGATATTGTTCTAATTGTTAAAATATACACGGGCCCACATAGTGCACGCTGATCTGATCTAACCAATCAGAACCTCTCTGTGACTGACCACCTGATCCTGCAGGCCAATCAGGATGGGGCAGAGATCTTTTCTGACAACTCAGCCCTGCAGCTTGCTCCCTATGTGAGCTATGATCAAAGTCTGGGAGCTGATGAGCCACTGAGACGAACCTATGACCTGCTGGCTTGCTTCAAAAAGGACATGCACAAGGTGAGGGGGTTGGTGGGGGGGCGGGGGATTATGTGATGATGTAATTATGATAATGTTTGTGTTTACAGGTGGAGACGTACTTGACAGTGGCTAAATGTCGACTCTCTCCAGAAGCTAACTGCACTCTGTAGCCCCGCCTATGCACAGCGAAGACACACCCCTATGCTAACAAACTCTGCTAACTGGCATTAGTGTTAGCCCATTGTAGCAGTTTGAACAGGAAGTGATGTCATACTGTCAGCCTTTGAAATAAAATGTGTGCTGTGTTTCATTCACATCTGTGTCATTGATTTATCTTGTCTGTAGCTGAACTTCTATTGATCTTCACTGTTTGATTTTATTTATTTTCTCCAGTATAGAGTGCCGTAGAGATGACGTACTTTTATAGGCCAACCAGAAAGTTAGCATACGGGTTCTCTTGACAAAAACTAAGTGGAATTTTTCTATAGTCTTTTGGATTATTGCAGAAAATAAGCTTAGCACTTCTACAAAACCCTTTCTTCTTAGCATGACCTGATCTAGGTAGTGATCATGGCTGTGTCAGAATAGTTAATCACAGACCTTATTTCAGGCTTCTAACCAAAAACCCTTTCAAAAAAACTATCGGTGACATAATAAAGGCTCATATTGCACATAATATACAGTGGACAGTGACTTATTACAAGCTGTTGCTGAGATGGGTTTGTCAGGCTGCTAACTTTAAGAGCTCATTTGGATACTGTAACTTCTGTTGAGGGAGGAGTATTTTATCAGGCATAATTTTCCCATATTCACAGTATCATATGTTTTTGCATAGTAATACATAGATAATAGATCATCCATGTGCTTTCATATCAGTGGATTACATTTTATAATATTACACCTGAAACCCACAGAAAGAAAGTCTCCAAAAGTTACAAAAACACACACACACATATCTAGACTTTACAACATTCTAACAAGGGGGAGCTCCGGTTCACACCAAATGGACAATAGGATCAAAAAGCTGTTGAATGTTGTACCTCTGTCCAGGGTTGAGGGACGACTCAGACCACTTGAGTATATAAAAAATATATCCGTGCTGGTTTATTCAAAAAGTCACAGGCAAGAATTCACACTTCAAGTCCAGAGATCTTCCAACCCCCAGGCTGCCCAAGCAGCCCGGAAGCAGCAAGACCCCGAACTAAGCATTGCTATACAATATTAATCCTTTCTGGGCTGTCGAACCGTGACGTCACCTGATATGCCAGCTTGGCAGCTGAGCAGCGCAGTAGACAAAACATGAAGAAAATAATGTGTGTGGCTGTTGTTTTCGTGGTGTGTATCTAAAACAATTTGACATAACATTACACATTAAGACAAATATTATGGTTACTTTTACCGTCATAATAACATTCGTCCCTGACTTCAGCCCTTCTCTGCCTTAACTGTCCTTGCATTTAACAGCCTGAGGAAGACATCCTGCTGCACTAAACATCTTCTAATACAACAGATCTCTAATCCATATCTATCTAACTAAGAAATTACCTAACATTAGTAAGTTAGTAAGTCCAAACTTTATGTCCAAACTCCTCAGCACAGGAGGACACAGTACTCTCAGTGTGCAACTGGAACACCAGCGTCCTTGCTGAGTCCATGAAGAACAAGAAGTACAGTAGCTGCTTGCTAAGGAGAGTTAGCTTGGTCTGCTAGTGGGTCATCAAGCTCCAAATACAACAGAGCACATTTCCAACAGTGGAAACACAATTATAATGTGCAGCTGGAACATCGGTGTCCTCGCTGACAGACTAATGTGGTCAGAACAATATGTAGCTGCCTGCTAATAAAGCTAGATTGGCCAGATAACATGGTTGGTACTCATATCTCCAAAAACATTGGAACAAATTCTAAATTGGCATTACTTGGATAGACTGACCACATAGTCACAAGCTAAGTGGTTAATTTCTCACCTCAAAAAATATCAAAACTCAATAAAGGCCCAGGGACTTGTCTCTGCATATGTGTAAGTGTTAGAATCTATCCTCTTTGTTAGAAATTAACCCAGTTCTTTTGTTGGAAGCACAAGAAGTGACGACAGGAGAGGACTGTTTAAAATCAGCGCAAAGTTTACTGCATGTTTGATCACAGGTAGGCCTTACAGTGCTGGGATCAGAGAGACAGAGCTCCCGCAGGAGTTCCATCCACTGACCTCGAATTCAGGTCTTACAATACATTTTATCTTCTTGGGCTGCTCTGCACTCAACAAAGGTACAACAATTCATGCATTGTAATCCTATTGGTCATTTGGTGAGCCGGAGCTCACCCCTCCTTGCTGGAATGTGATCTACACCAGGTGTGTGTGTGTGTGTGTGTGTGCGTGTGTGTGTGTGTGTGTCTCCGGCACCCTGATCTTGATCAAGGTGCACAGAACAATGGGGTGACCTGAGTTGCAGGCCCCCTGTGTGTGTGATACTAATTTGTATGTTAAAACTGGCCTGGTGGTCATCTCAGGTTGTGGGCCCCCAGCCTCTGCAGGACATCCCAAGACAAAGCAGAACTTGGAATATGCTAAGTGGGACCTGTAATATATATATATATGTATAAGCAAGGGAAACAAATGCATTAAAATAACCAAAGCTCAATAGTTCTGGACAATCATCAGTACAGTTTTACCATGTGTAAACAAGGAAGGTAAAAGTATGAAAAGTAACTAAAAGACAATGAAGAACTGAAAAGTAACTAAAGATTATAAAGTAACTAGAGTCTATAAGACTCAAATCTTACAGGGACTTGTCTCTGCATGTGTGTAAGAATCATAGAATACTGAACTATTGGTAGGGTCTGGTGCGTCAAGGACGTTCACCCAAAGTTACATAGTGCAGTAACAGGTGATCCTGGCATGCAGTAGCAACAGCAGAGATGCCTTTGACCTTATTAGATGTCAGCCTAACATCAAAATGATTTTGAAACTGTTAATGTAAAAAGGTTACATATTGATACTTTAAATGCCTTAAATGGCATTTAATTATTCTCAAAGCTCTGTGATCATTTTCCATGACAGCATTTTTGTACAGGAGTTGAAAAAATATATCTGCAATGACTGTCCATATGACAAACATTCAATCAACTTAGTATCTTAACTTCTTTCTACGTTCAGCTAATTTAACTGAGTTAGTGTTACATTTTCAAAACTTAAATAAATACAGCTTACTCAAATTATGTGTGTACATTCTAAACCCAACTTGACACAATTAAGTTGATTTAATGTTCTCAAAGTAGTGGACTGGCCTGGAGTCTCCCGGCCAATCATTGAGGTTTGCGAACAATAGTGTAGCATCATGTGGCAGTTTTTGTGACACTATTAGGAGACAGCAGAACGTCTTTAGTTCCTGCTTTACATTCATTTCACCAGCAGGGGCAGTAACGCTTTATTCGGCTTTTTCCGTTTGACAGTCGTCCATCTCCGCCTTTTCCGTCCTGGCTTCCTAACCTCCTCGGTAATGTTCGGCGTAACTCGGTTGCTAACGGTCGGTGTGTTCAAATCTTGGGCTGCAGCTCCTCCTGGAGACTTAAGTAGAGAAAGAGCCGAGAAAAAAGAGGGGAAACGGGCAATAGGAACAAATATACGAAGTCTCGAAACGGAATGACGGTGCTGCAGGAACCTGTCCAGGTAAAAACTATTTGTCAGTTCGTTGTCATGAGCGGGGAGATAAGCATTTCTGAAGCTCGTACTGCCTTCTCCGCCCCGGCCTCAGCGGCTGGTCCAGTACGCGGTGTGAGAGGTTTTCTCCTGCTGCAGGCCCTGCAGCATGGGGCGTTTGGTCGGTGCTGTTAGTGTTTAAAAGTCGATAATTACAGAAAGGTTTATTCTGGGGCAGGGTTCACAATGTTCCACACGATGCTGTTAGTTAGCCAACGTCAGCATGGTTTTAGTTCACATCGATCATGCCATAGTCCGTTAAAAAAAGGTCAGATTGAGGTTTCCATTGGTGTCTCTTTATAGAAGAAAGAGGAAGGGACAACTCTTGTGAACATTATGGCCACCTTAGTGCCACTTATTGTTTCGGCAGAGATCCAACAGTGGAGTTATGCTTTAGTTAAAAGATAATATAACATTAATTTCGCATGTTAAACTCATTTACGGTATGCCCCACTGAGGCTGAAGGCAGTACCAGCGCAAACAGTCACTAAAGTTTATATTCTATCTACCGAAACCAAATGTATCAGGTTGAGTTTATAACTGCCGAATTAATCGGTGGTCTGTATTGATTTTGTGAAGGTCTTTTACAGACTTGTGTTCTGCTGACGAGCAGGGTTATACTATACAGTTAGCTAGATCTCAAATGGAGCTTTCTGCCGCTAACAGTAGAGTTCTGTTAGCCGGGTGGCATTTAGCAGAGTGGCTTCAGTCAAAAGAAATTCAGATTTAAAGTTCATAAGTAAACATAAATAGGATTGTTGAAGGTTATTCGGATTGTAGTCAAAGTCCCACCACAGAACAAACGCAGCAGGCAGGGTAAAGGTAACTACCAGCTAGTTAGCCTCTTGTTGCTAACGCTAGCTAGCGTCAGCTAGCCACCGGTTAACGTCCCCTGGTTAGCTGCAAAGTCAGTCCGAGTAAAGACAGACTATAGTTCAGTCTGACGGTTAATGATCAGTCATTGTAAATATCTAGTGATGTCAGGTATGTTAGTGCCAGTCGTGTTTTGTGGGTTATCGGATTTTATAAATGTAACAAATTACAGTTCTGCTTTATCTGAACAATCTATAGAAACTCGGTGACACATGTTGATTTCTGTTGATGTCCATGTAGAGAGGTTACCAGGTTTCTTATGTGATCACTAACCAGCTGTATGTAAACTCAGTTTGTACAGTAACTCGTTGATCATCACACCTTTTGCCTTGGGTATAAATGCAGTCGTCAGATTCTTGGATTGAATCAGTGTATTGGTTCATATCTGCACATTGGTCACTTCTGATAATCCTCAGAGTTCAGCTTGTTTCATCAGTCTTGTGAAACAGGAATGGGCTTCCAATAATATAGGGTTGCACTGATATAAGATTTTGACAGTATGATAACTGTCTCAGAAAATATTATGGTATTACACAATTGCTGTTATCAGCTGCAGTGACCCTCAAAGGAATGAAAATAAAAGGGTATGTAAATTGCAAGTGACTTTGGCAGTAATTTGAGCTGGGCTGTAGTGTTAGATTGACCCTAAAAATGAACAGAATTATAAACATGATTTTAAAAAATTGCATGGAACTATAACAACGTATAAGTAAAGCATGTTGGTTTGCTTGTTGGCACCAGCAG